ATGAGTCGCTCTCACATTCATGGGGCATGGATCGCCTAGCCACAGGCTCAAACCGCAGCTGGTGACACATCAGAAGCTGCTTCATTCTCTTCTTTGCCCTACCTTGCGGATCGCTTCACCGATGCAGGGACTTGTGGCGCATTGCTTTCGGCCCGGGTGTTGTCCCTCAAGGCAATGAAGATGGGCTTCATGGACGAGCCTTTCGGGCTGCCTGAAGAGCATATATAATTGAGTCATAGTAAGTAGAGATCATCCCTTTACTGTTTGTTTCTGTTTCTGTGCTTCATCGTGAGCACGGTCGAATCTGTCGATACTAGCGCATGCTCCCTCTGCAAGACCCAAACTCGCTACACCCCTTATCAAGAATTCGGCTCCTGTACATACATCAGTAAAAGGTCAAGCTAGTGAGAAATGTCTGCTCCACTTCGTTCTTCCCTCCTCACTGCTACTCTCCCCTCCCACACCCAGCGCCCAGAATATACAACCTACACAACCCCTCTACATCCTACCCGGCGAGCCCCAAGGTCATCGTCGCGAATCCCACATCGACGCAGCTACAATCACACCGCTGGCCGGATACCACACCCCCAACCCAGATTGCAGTATGCACATGGGCCCATATTCATCACAACGCACCAGTTTGCCCGACCCCCATGACAGGCTGGTGGGTATGCTGCGCATGCGGCGGAGACAATAACCCCGACCTCAGCTCGGGCCGGTGCACCCTCTGCGGCCATACTCTGTGCTCCAGCTGCCGTTTCTATTGAGCCACTTGGCTGATTAGCATATTGACTCATGCCGGGAGTTTTGTCTCTGCGCGCGTATTGAGACTGTCTATCTGTTTTGCACCTGGTCGACTGTATTACTAGCTGCGTTGTTTGCTTTTGCTTCTTTATTCGGTGATTATCTTCCATGGTAGACCTCTTCTGTACCTATTATCAGCGACGTTATTTCTCCTTGTCGCTCTTTGCGCCTTGTTCACATTTTCTTTTCTTGACGTCAGGGATAGATAGCCTTTGCTTGGCCTGCTATTGGGTCAATGTTATGATTCATGAACAAGATTGACACTCTATAGTGTGCCACATGATTCTCTCATACAGAAGCATCCTGTGACCTAAGTATATGCAGGAACTTGGGGCCAAAGCTCTATTGATATAGGAGCCTCAGGAAGGTCAGGCATCCATTTTATGATGAGGACAAAAGTGATAATTAACTAGACTATTCAATTACGCCGTCTATGTTTCCCTCGTCTTTGCTCATGCTGTGGTATCTCAGCCTCCGCAGGGTTCACAGACTCCGGCTCCGTGGGAGTTTCTAACCCAGCCTCTTTCTTCAACCTTGTCACAACGGGCCCGAGGGCAAAGGCGCTCTCGTGACTACTGTGGTCCGCACAAGGACTTTGCTTGATAGGGAGAAGCCAGTCGAGCACAGAGAATCCCATTACCTGCTGTAGATTCTTGAGTGGACTTCCAAGGTCAAATGGATTTTCTCCCGGTAGGGTCTGTAGAACTGCGAACACATGCAGTTCTCCGACTGGGAATTCCCGCGCGACTTCCGACTCAGCTGGCGGAACAGGCGGGAGAGGGTAGGTGATTGTACGGAAGGTTGGTGCCCATCGTTTGCTGAGGATGTGCCTCGGCACACGTATTGCCAAGGTCCACACGGCCGAGCGGCGGTTGAGGTTCTCAATTGTTGTCAGGTTATACACGGCAAGTTGCACAGAGCTTATGGTCATTCCAAAGGCGAAAAACCCAAAAAGAGAACTCCTAGTGGCTGGTAAGAAAGATATACATCTCGTAGCGAGGAAATGTACTCACAATGCAAGACAGACAATCCAATGAGCATTGGTTCTTCCGCCCTATTAATCATCACGATGCATTAATTGAAATCCTTCCCGGTCAGTCAGATCATGCACTTACTTCCCGTCTGAGCTCCGCAGTGTATATCGCAAAGACGATGAGAACAAATATGCAGTAGAACATCGTATAAACGATGAACTGGATAAAGAACTTGAACGAGGTCTCCGAGACTACACCGCCAACCCTTCGGGCATGTTAGTCTCCTTTCAATGCAAAAGCCCGCGTATTATTCCGACATACCACGGGCAAAAGTGATCCATCTTGCGGACACATCGCTCAACCTCTCGACAGTGGTGCGCTCTGTCTGTCTTGAACTGACAGCATGTGGAGCAATACACCGGTCTCCCATCCGGTTGACATACAAAGACATCTTTGGTGTAGAAGCTCTCCAATCCTTCCGCATCCAGAGGGTATGCCTTTGCTCCCGCATTGTACTCAAGTCCTCGTTCGACGTCGCCTCCGTCAGATCTATCCGTTTTCTCCGTCGTTTTGGACCGATGATGTCCGCTCTTCCTCCTGCGATGTCTTCGACGACGGTGCTTTGACCCATCACTGTCGGTCTGATTCTGAGAACATGCAGTGCCCCGCGGCAGGTAACCAGGGTTCAAGACAACGTTATACAAGAGCCGGAGATAGGTGGCCAACACAGGAATCAGCAGGACGTAATAAACGGCAAGAATAGCGGCGCCAGCGCCAGTCCGAGACTTTCGATCATAATGGTGGGCAGGATGTATGAGATAGTCGACTGTTATTCAGGTTCATATTAGACTGAATTGTGGCTGGTATGATTGGGGCAGAGGATGCTGACCGCATAATGGTTTCGTAATAGCATAACTGGCATAACCAAATACACCGATCAAGATGGGAGGTATGATTCTGGCAACGGCGAGATTGACGCGCTTATCCGCGGCGCGACGTGCCATTTGAAACTAATTCCAGAATGTTTTGCGATCGCCCTGTGCATTGAGGAATGGTGATAAGATAGGAAGACTTGGTAAGAGATTTTTGCCAGAAGCACCGGCATCAATCATAAACCGGATCAAGTCTCATAAACACAGGCAACTAGCCCGCTCGAGTACGGTGCATAAGTCCTGATTGATATTATCTTGTTATGAATGCACTGGATTGGATGTAAGAAAGATTTAGATTTGGGTTATGATGATGTTGAAGCAGCCTCAGGAACATAATAACGATCACCACGTGCAAACATTACAAACAGAAGACATGACGTAGTCATGTGCTTCCATGTAAACAATGGCTGAACCAGCCAGTACAAAGATTCCAGTCTCAAGTACCTTTATTATGCAACAGTTAATTCTATGGTTTGACTGCGATATTGTGGCTTGAGTATACAGAGTCCCGGGTCTACCATGACCGGCCATACTCAGCCCACGTTCCATACCACTTGATGAACCGCCGTCGCGGCACCTTGAGCCGAACGGATCGATGTCCTAGCGAGCATTACAGTTCCAGGCATGAATTTTTCTGCCTGTACTTGCAGGTCATCTCTGGATACGAGCATCGTCACCTCTCATGATAGGCAGACATCGACTTTCATGAGTCTCCGGTCAAGCCAAATGGCTGTTAGACTAAGGGGACAATCGTAAACAACTTCATTGATTCAAAACGAAAGTGAAGAGCATAATCAGTTGGGACATAAAAGTCACTCCAGTGATGGCAGACAAGGAATTCGTCTGGATGGAGTCGGAATACCTTCAGGAACCGGAACTGGGGCCAAATGTCTCAATCAAATGCGTTTGACCTGGGTCAAGCAGACGCAGTGTAGCAGTACGAAACCATGCTGCTAATAATAATCATAACAAAGACAAAGGATGGAACGGGAGAGATGATGCGAGAGAGAAGACAGCATAACCATCACCATCTATTTTTAATGATTGTCGGCAATGAATCATCCTCTCTCACTCTGGTCCCCCGTCATCTTCCACATTGAACAGATAGAATATAGCTTACTCAACGTCATCAGAGAAGGGCCTTGTAAGACGCCAACAGTGATGACTGAATGGTCAAATGACGGCTTAGGCAGCAGGAGCACGTGGAATGCAGCCTTGTTTGTGCTTACTGCTGAGAGGGCCGAAAAGCATTTGACCGACAAATGCTACGGGGAAAACGGCTTTCCGAGTACATTTGGTGAGCAAAACTAACGGTCAGCGCCAAATGTGAAAGCGCCTTAGGAACTATGACTGTTCTTTTTTTCTTTTTTCCATGACGATTTCCGCGACGAATCATGCAAGGACGAATGCACGACGGAGCCTCGTGCTGTAGGTAACTAGGCAGGGGGGATCGTTGCCTGAATCCGCTGGTACTAACGTTGCTGAAAGTGGAGTCGTCCTGAGAGCCGCTACCAGTTAGTACGTCCGTTTCAGCAGGCAACACACGCGCGGAGTACAAACAGATGACTATCCTACAAGTCAAGAAAAAGAAAACAAAATGCAAAATGAGCCAAGAAGAATGCAGACGAAATCCCAAGACCGTTCAATGCTTGGGGTGAAAAGGGCGGAAATCAGACGGCATTCGGGCAAAGCGACATGTCCAAGCCACCCACTTGCTGATTCCGCCTTTTCCATCATAGACAGTGGACCCTCAAGGAGGGCCTGAGTCAACGGGAGTGCTTATTCTAGCGGTCATTCTACTCAGATATTCTCATATTGATTCAGAGATGACTTCAATGTCATTCTCGAGATGGCATCTAGGCGCTGATGGACCCATTATTCACGCCGCCAAGCCACAATTCGATCTACTGCAATCCAGGATCCTAATGGCCCCCGTCTCTAACTTCTCTTAGGAAGCGGGTTCAACTAAGCTATTCTCTGGCTTGCTTGCCTGATGATATGCCTGAAGATGAAGGTTGATTCGCTGCAGACCTGGGGCGCATTTGGGATGTCCGGGGCTTTTGCCTGGGAGAAGCCACACTTTGCCCTTGTGAGCTGCCTTGCTCATTGCTTGATGTGATTCATGTCTTTATCATCATCTCATTCTTTGTTTTTTATTTAAACATGCTCCGATCCCTCCTTATGGACACTCTTTCATTCTTCATCATTCAACGCAACAAGCATCCACTATATAGACCTGTCTTCAAGGCTCTCAGAACTACCATTCGTCTTCTCCATCGTCAGGATCATTCGCTCAATCGTCTCTTCCATCTCAATCATGCCTGGCTCCTGGTTCACTGAGGACAAGAACAAGAACCTGAACATCAACATCAACGACTCCCTACCCGGCTGCCACGACATGTCTTCCTACCACGCTGTCACTGTCTCCAGCAGAAGGCATCTGCACATCAGTCGTCATGCCAGCCTACAGGGTCCCCCAATGCCTTACGAGGATCTTCCGGAGACCTACTTCGCCGGCCACTCAGGTCGAGCGACAAACATGAACAAAGTCTACAGCCAGACCTACATGTACATCTGCTGCAACTGCGGCGACGGGCCGAAAGTATACAATGTCCAACCGAGATGCACAGAGTGCAACCACATTGTATGCTCCAGTTGCAAGCCTGTCAAGTAGTACCTCATCTCCAGCACAACAACTAGGTAAGAACTTCTGCCGCTGTACCGATACTGAGAAGCCGAAGCTGATGCGTTGTGCTTACAGAAATTCAGGATGGCTGTGCCTGCCTGCTGTATATTGTATTTGGATTGGTTCTCGGTTTGGTTGTCATCGTGAGCGAAGCATTATTATGGATACATCATGAAACATGAAACATGAAACATGGAACGAACATGAACATGAGCATGGGAGTTTACGGTTATTTTTGGGAAGGTTTGCATACTTGGACTGGATAGACCTGGAATGTCTTTTGGATACAGCGCTACTTTGATGATTTTACCACTTTTGATGCTAGATCGGCGGGCTACAATGAGCTGAGCTGGTCTCAGCCCATAGTAGCCCTGGTGGAAGCCGGACGGCAGTGGGGTTGTCATGTCATTTGATCTGTCCTTTGTTTTTGATACTGTCTATGACTGCAGTTTGATGTTTTAGATATTTGAGGTCTATGTTAATCAATTTGTTCCCTGCCGCACTGTGACTCTAAGATCTGTAGTTCGTGTCTTAGTTGAATATTATTGGCATGGACCAGGGAGCCTTGTAGCCTGGGGTTGCCTAGCTGGAGATCGCGTGCCATATTCTGAAAGTATACTCCGTCCAGGAAATCTGTGACTGGCCACATTGAACCAGAATCCATTTTATTAGAATTTAGACCAATATTTTTTCTAACTCCAGGATCAGAAAAAAAATCCCAAGAACTTTCTTTTTTTTTAATTTTCTTTTGATGTCTGCTGTCCAACTACTTCAAAATGACGCTAGCCGTGATGATGTATATACAGGGGAGATCAGCCACTTCATCATTAGTCGAAAACTGGATAATCCTTGACAAGATGAGTACTGTGGCACATTACTAGTTTAGTTAGTACTACAGACTAGTCTTAATTATCATAGTCTTGCAGTCTTACTCTTATTATAAATCACCATTTTGAGCCGCAGTCGATCACAGCAAGGATGACATGCATCATGCCCTCCATGGATTCCACCGCCCTTTCTGTCGGGATCTATATGCAGTCAACCCTATTCCCTGCACAAAACAGCGGTCTCCATCTTACAACTTGCTTCTTCAGCTTAGAAATTCAACTTCAGCCCTGCAACGATACTTCATACTTGGGCTATTCCGACTCGGTGAGAAATACGAGGGTAGGTAGGCTGTGTTGCGCCCGGACTTGTTCGATACAAGTGCCAAAATCACGGTGAGGCATTCCAGCAAATTTAGGTTTACCGAATCTGCCTTGATCTAATCCTTTTTGTTTATGGTTCCAAGTCTTGAAGTGGATTTAGATTCACCATGTTTCCTTTCAAATTATTAGAGAAATTGTTTCAGCTCTGAACGACGACGATGAAACATACACTGCCTTACACTACGGAGTCTATCCCAGGAATTTCCATGACCCATATGCAACGACATTCTAGAACTATTTTCCATACATATCCCAACTGTCAGCCCTGCATGAGTAATTAAGAGCACCCGGACATATCTCCCTGCCAGTAGCCACATGGTATCCCCGACCCCAAGCCAGGATCTATCTACACCGTACCCTTGGGAATAAAAACTCGAGAATCCGCCCCCAATTCAGTTGCATGACTCGAAAGAAGCTATTCTAATCAAATCTTCAATATCATAAATAGATATCCGCTCTTCCGCAATTACAAGAGCATCCTATCCCGGGTTGCCGCTCTTCTCCGAAATGGGGTCCAAAAACAACGCGCTGAAGATGACAGCCCCCAACCCTAAATATGACTTTTGGCGCCGTTGGATAAACCAAAGTGATCCTTCAACTGTCTTGATTCTTCATTACGTGAGATGGTTAATTGAATCACCAGTCATTCAGCATGATATAGCGCTGGAGAAGTGAGAGCCATACTCTTCTAGTCCTACTGCTGACTATCAATATATTCTCCCGCACCACGTGGCAGCGTATCCCAGAGTCCCAGATAATCAACCTGGACACAACATATAGGTTACCGATTGTTACAAAGTACCTACTAAATTAAGAAAATGTCGCATTACAATATTATTATTCCATCAATTGATCTTTGATTTTTGTTTCCAGACCAGGTCCTAACCTAGGTGCCAACCTACCTTCATGCCCAGACAAAGAAGACGGTCGGGGTCCCAATGCAGAAAGAAACCAACACAACGAGATGACTCAGAATCTGCGACGTACAATGTATGAGTGATCCTGATGCTCTCAACTATGACTCAGGATTCGGGTCACAGTACAAGGTTTTCTGTTCGGTTTAGTCGTCGAATTGATGTGCAAGTAAGTGAAGTGCACAGCCCTAAGTATGGAGGATAGCGAGATCAAATGATCGGGATACAATTTGGGTGTTCAAGTGCTGGTGGGCCGTACACAAGTCGTAATGGTTATCCATGATGACATTCAGACACTACTAGCGACACTGGGGTATTCATATTTCATCCTCTATCAGACAACCTCGTCCCTCTTCCGTTGGCTATGCAAACGCCCGTTTGCGCCTTGTTTTGCCCGATAGGCGCTATACGCCCGCCTTCAGCCGGGTCGGGAATCGGGATACGGGCGAAGGTGGACACATCGGAGAAATGGATTGGATACCAAGATGTACTATCATACTCTGATTCGAATGGAAAATGAATGATTTGATTATTCACTATCGCTATGTATCTCTTACCACCCGAGAGTGGTGGCTGTACGTTTTCCCACTCCATCGAGCAAGGAAAGCAATCTGGGACTCGTGGATCAGTCCGCACCATTGCAGTCTCAGTAGCTGATATGGATATTATCCTCATGGCCCACAGACTCTGAATCCGCGAGGCCTTAGTGATGGTCGAAGTGGAGGGCGAACTGCCTACGCCCCGCTGCTAGAGAAAATATGGTTGAGATCCTACCAAAACTCCATGCTGTTCTTTTGTATACCAATAAGCACAGATCAACAGCGTAAGAATGAGAACACCCTGTTATGGATGAGAGGGCAACACCAATGATCCCATCCACCGTAAGCAGAGCTATAGAAGGTCAAGTGGTGCGTATGTCTAGATAAGTGGACGAAGAAGAATCTCTGATGGCAAACAGAGCGAGCGAGTGACGGGTATCAGAAAACCGTACAAGGATATCTTGTTTATGGCGTGAAGAGGCGAAGGAGTTTTTCAGGAAGGTTTCACTTGCATTCACAAGTGTCACAGCTCACCTTGGTAGAGGAAAAGCTTCTTCCATCAGACGAACAAGTGCCATGATCCTGCTACAAGGGCAAGACACGTGATGGATCTTGGAGGAAGCGTCTACGGTATGCGGCAATTTCCGTGGCCACGGTATTGAAATCTTTCACCTTGTCGCGCCGCATATCATTGATGATTTGTTTCAGCCCGGCGATATATTGGTCCTTTTCTTCAGGCGTTTTGCCCTCTCGAAGGGATCCCATCTGGACGAGGATTTTGTCATCTGTCGAAATCAATAACACTGCGTGTCAGCATCTCCTCGCCGCGTTCGAATCAAACTGACAATGTCTTGCTGTGTTCGGGAACTGCTGAAAATAATGAAAGAACGGAAGGAGGGACAAAGCCAGGGCGGGAAACGAAACGCAATCAGAAAACGAAGAAACCGGGGACGAGGGGAAATTGTGGGGCCAGGTTATGAATCGGATTATGACATGAGGAATGTTGCAATGCTTCTGTCTAAGTATGTCGACGCACCGCTAAGAGTCATGTCACGAAAATGCTGGAGGTCGCATGACCGGTCATTGCAGACACCGCCAGTAGCCTCGTAGGGACAGAGATATTTTTCAGAATCGATGTTGTGACTATATGTTAGGGATCGAAAACCGCCCGAGACATTCTCAGTGAATCTAGGGTGGTAGCGGTAAGCCTTGAACCATCTCAATGGGCTAATGTAGGGTGTGAATCTGGGAGCTTTCTCCTCCTGGGGTTCATTCTACAAAGCCGTCAGCAGTGCTCCTCCCCGAATTAGAGATAGTCCGCACATTCGAGAGCCCATGCGGGGAGCTGGTTTCTGGTTGAACTTCCAGTTCCTGAACCTTTCCCATTAGCGGCATATCAGCTCTCTCGACCCGAGAAACCTCTGCAGACTTTAGGGAAGCAAGAGAAACAGGACTGAAAGGGGGAGTATAGACGGAATCGGAAGGGCTGCTATCCGCTTCGGGCTCTGGTGGCTCGTATGTGTCGGAGATGGAAGATTCGCGAGAAGATTGCTTTTCGAGTTCTTGAACTTCATCCGCATTGGGGGTAAATACATCCCCTGCATCCCCTGTATCAGGAGCGTGCGGAATGCGCTGCTGTTCCGGAAGAGCGTGGTCAGGAGTCATCTCGTCCTCTACAGTCTTCCGATCAGTGGCTGGGATGCCACTCAAAGCTTCATGCAGACTAGGCTCCGGCGTGGGTGTTTCGCATTCCATGGGCTCTCCGTGATCAGCTGGCACAGAATCTTCACTGGAATCAGCAGACTCATCCATCGCGGAGCCTAGGGATTCTGATGTTGAAGAAGAGGCTGCATCGTTTGCAGGGTCCACAGCGTGGTCAGACCCGTCCGCATCCATAGACAGATCTGAGGTAGCAGAGGGTCCCGCCTCAGATGCCAGACTAGAAACGGGAGATCCTTCGACCGGGCATGCCGCACCTTGACTTCGCGACTCGGCAGCGGAGATGTCTGGCAACGAGGAACCATACCTTGCCGCACAGCTTTGAAGATGTGTTGAACCTGTAATGAGGTTTTGCGTCATGTAAGCTCCAATTTTCGCAGCATTATCGGTGTGAAGTCCGCAATAACAAGAATGTAGGACGGAATCGGGGACAGCAGATTTAACGTACCTTCATCTGATGCTTGGACTTGTTCCTTCGCATCCAACGCACGTTGAGCTATTTCCAGCTCTTCTAGAGTGAGGCCGTTCAACTCCAGGTCGAGACTATGCAGCTCCTCTAGAAGTTGTTGTCTCCCTTCCTTCCCCTTGGCAATATCACGCAGGAGGTTTTGCGCTTCTACTTTGACTTCAGCAAGCCGGGCTTCAGACTTTTGAATCTCTGCGTCCAGAGCGGGAACACCAGATTCAATTTCCTTCTTACGCAACAATTTCGAGCGCATCTCCTCAAGGTGGTCGACATCCTTGAGGGCCGAGATCCGCGCGATCGATTCTGACGAAAGTTTTTCGGTGTTAA